ACGGACGCCTGGGGCAGAGCAGCTGGTGTGCTGCTGGGTTGATCCAGCAGACCAGGGAGACGGGGAGCAAAGCCGCGGAGCACGCAGGCAGCGGGACAGCTGCGGCGCGTCTGGGCTGTCCTGCTGCCCACGTGCTCCGCAGCTTTGCTCAGCGTCTCCCTGGTGTGCTGGGGGGGATTCCCCCCCCAGCAGACCAGGGAGACGCAGAGCACCTTTTTTCGCCCCGGAGGACACGGGCAGCGGGACCGTGGCGCATCTGGGCGTCCCGCCGCTCCCGTCCTCCGGGGCGAGAAAAACTCCGTTCGTAACTGCGGATCCGACATAAGTCGGATCCGCATAACTCGGGGACTGCCTGTATTCGGTTTTCTGACAGTGGCCAATGCCAGTTGCCTCATAGGGGAATGAATAGAACGGGTAATCATCAAGTGATTCCACCCGTCATCCATTCCAGATTTTGACAAAACTGAGGCTATGGATACTATTCCTGCCCATCTTGGCTAATAGCCATTGATGGACCTATCCTTCATGATTTATCTAGTTCTTTTTTGAACCTCGTTATGTTCTTGGCCTTCATAATATCCTCTGGTAAGGAATTTCACAGGTTGCCTGTGTATACTTATTTTAAGAAGTAGTACTTTGTGTTTGTTTTAAACCTGTAATTGCTTTAAGTTACCTCTTGTTCTTGTGTTATGGGAAACTTAACTCTGCCCTATAGCTATAACGTGAGAGTGCAGAAGGAAAAGAGAAGAGGAAAAAAAATCAAGAGCATCTTTAGAAATCAATTTAATCACGAAGCCTTACACTGGCCCACTAGACACACCAAAGTTTCAACTACCAACTCAGCAGAATAACAGCTGAGCATGCTTTCGGTGGACTGAAGGGATTCTGGCAATGTTTGCTCACTAAATTAGACTGCAGTGAGAAAAACATTACCCTGATTATAGCTGCCTATGTCTTTCATAACATCTCTGAAGCAAAGGGGAAAAGATGCCACTGGGGTGTAAGGCACAGATGGAGTGGCTATGTGATTACTCTGGGAGTGGCTATGTGATTACTCTGAACAAGCAGACATAAGAACCATTATAAGAGCTCAGTGAGGATCTGTGTGGCTGAAGGAGATTGCAGAAGAGTACTTAAATGAGTGCTGTGGTTTCGGATTGTGATTTGTCCGCTCCTCATCTGTTTAGGTTCCAAAACTGGTACAAAAGACTTTTCACAAGTTCCACTACCAGCACAGTGCTTAGATTCTGCAGTCTACTCATTGATGAATGGTCAATGTCATGTCATATTCCGCTCCACTCCACTGTTCCAATACTAAGGCCTAACTGTTTTTTTTGCATTTCCAACATTACATATTTTGGTATGGGCTTCATCTCGGCAAAGGGAGTCCAGCAACGGGAGGTTTGTTTTACTCATCCTTTAATTGGCTCCTCTCTGTGTGCAATAAAATGTTAGAAAACATTTGCAACTTTTAAAATTGTATTTAAGAATTCTCCAGCTTCAGGATGCTTGTTCAAATCACTTCAAAATGGAGGGTAGAACTGTGGGGAAAATGTGAAGTCTGATTCACAAAAGATGCAAATTCAGCTTTAAACAAAACCCATGGAAAGGCTAGCACCTTTCTACATTGAAGGAGGAATTATGGAAAGACAGAAAGATTGCAAACTTTCATTTAAATACAATCCAGGTATGCTCAGTATAATTTATATCCCCTGAAACAGGCCCCATGGTGTGTGAAGCAACTTCTGTGAAATGCCAATCATCTCCAAACAACTATAACTTCAAAAGCAGTTAAAAATCAGTCATCTCACAGGACCAGACCTTTAATTTGGAGGTCAAAACCAATCCACAAAACTTACCTGTATGAGTTTCCTTGTTCCTTGGTACATCAGTATGCTTTTTCCAATACTTAGTCCAGTTGAAGTGAAGGGAAGCTGTGTGTCCCACATGCAGTTGGAGCTTTCTTCCACCACATGTAATTGATTCTCCTAATGGCTGAGTCTTTGTTACGCTGGTCATGTTTTTATCATTGTTGTGAATACCTGAATCTTTACTCCCCTCACTAATTTTATCTTTTGGAGTGTAAGTAAGAGGAGGCTTCTTAACCGATTTTGTACTTTTACTGCGGTGAGTCTCCGGTCTTTTCTGGATTTCTTTACCTAATGGTGGTTTACTCAACATGGGCTTCCTGGAATATTTCTTGTTTGCAAATGGGTATCTTTTTTGCTCATCACTATTGCCAGCATATCCATCGTACAATGCTTTTCCAACAGACACTTCTGAAGAGTCAGACTGAGTCAGATCCAAAGATGGTATGTTTTCAAACATATCCTTCTGTTTAGATGTCACTCTCTTATCCCACTCATGCAATTGCTTCCCCTTCTCTTTGAGACTTCTTCCAGATGTAGGCATCAGGTGTGTTTTCTTTGGTTTTGCCCCTCTATTATCTGCACTAGATACCTCCTTATCACTCTCTGAAGAACCTAAGTCATTATATTCTTTAGGACTGACTCTCCACCTAGGCACTACTGCACTATCTAAAACAGTCATGTCTTTTGTACCATCAGTAGATGCTTGCCTTATCCTGTTTCTAGTATATGTTCTATCACTTCTAGATCTGTGCCATCGCTGGCTTTGAAAGCTGTGATCCTTATGAGTTTTACTGGTACCAGAAAACTGGAGAAAATCTTGCTGGCCACAGAACTGGTTTTCTGGTCTATAAAAGCTGTGTTGCTTTGTAGAAGAGCTTTCATAGTCAGCGCCTCTATCAGAAGTCTGATTATGAAATGACAGATTATCATTTCTCCTCCGTGTGCTACTGGATTCCAATCTGCCCAGACTTCTCCAATTTACATCAGGAATCTCTCTCTCTCTTGGAATAAAATCAGCTGCATCCGGATTGAAATGTAATACACCTAAAGAGCAAAACAAAACAAAAAAAGTTACTGATGTTCAGAGCTGTGTCAGTATTAAAATTCATGTCATGATGTACCACAGCAGTCTACTGCATACACAATGGGACGAATAGTGCAGCTGCTCTAAACCCTAAGCAGCAAAATAAGCACCCTGATCAAGGAGTTTGTTTTTTTTTCCCCAGGAAGTTTTCATTGCTTATATAAAAACAGTTATTTTCTGTTTGCCTTATATCAGACATGTTAAATTTGTTCTGTATCTTCTCAGTTACCAGCTGTGGGTAAAAACTTCACTAAGGAAAAAAAAAGGCTGCAGTCTTCTGACAGCATTGTCCTTTAGGTAGCCAAGTAAAATATCATATTTAAAACACTTTTCACAAGAAGCTTTTGGCTATTCTGAAACCTCACTTCATCCCCATGACCTCCATTCTTTATATGAATGTTCCCTCTTTTCCCTACCCATTGACCGCTTTGGACATTGACACCATCTCCCCTCTTCTCCCACACAACCTCACTTTGGCATTTTCCCTCTCCATGTCCTCTTCTTCTCATTAACTTTCTTTCACCCTACACCAACTTTCTTCCTGACCTCTCCTGTTACTCCTCCATCCCCACTTGCTTATTCCTCTTTTCACTCTTCCTCCTCCTCTCTCTCTGCCAAGTCCTGGTTCCTGGACTAAGATGTGAGGATAGTAATAAGATTCCTTTTCCTTGTACCTAGTAGTATGAGGCTGAACAGCATTGGCAGTGAGGGAGAAATCTGAAAAAAATATTCTGATCACAAGAGTGGGGTGAGGGAAGAGACAAGAGGTGACTATTATATGGACTGGAAGCACCTGGAAGACCCTCTTTTGAGTCAGTCCTGAGGGGCATTAGTTGCACTGTGGGAGGTAGGGTAGGAGCTAAGACCACAATCTTCCTCTTATACTTCACCACCTTTGACTTTAGCTCCCTCCCAATTCTTTTATAATGTGGCAGAAATAAGCAGATTTCTTTGCTAATTTCTGCAGGACCTGTGGGTCCTTTGGGCAAGCAATATGTTTGCCACTCCTGTCTTACATGGCGAAGACATATCCCTCTCTACAGCTGACGCTGCAGCCATCTTCTATCAAAGTCATATTTCAGTCACCACTAATTCTTGCTTAAAAGTTTAAATCTCTGAGGGGAAGCGGGCTCATACTCTGGGGCTTCCTCTGAATACAGGCAGTCCCTGAGTTACGCGGATCCGACTTATGTCGGATCCACAGTTACGAACGGGGCCCGTCTCCCTGGCCTCCAGCAGACCAGGGGGACAGGGAGCAAAGCGGCGGAACACGCAGGCAGCGGACAGCCCAGACGCGTCTTTGCTTCCTCTCCCTGGTCTGCTGGAGACTAGGGAGATGGGCCCCATTCGTAACTGCGGATCTGTTGGATCCGCATAACTCGGGGACTGCCTGTATTTCGGAATAACTATTCCAGAATAGCTTGTTCCAAAATAAGTGTGCAGTGTAGACGTAGTCTTACAAGCCACAGAATCTCTCCCAGTCACTCCTGGAATAGATCTATAGCCTCTGGCTGAGTTCTCAAACAGTGATTTAAAGACAGAAAGTCCACCATTTATTCTAATTTAAACCAGCAAATGACTCCTGCCCATGCTGCAACAGAAGATGAAAACTCCACCCCCCAGAGGAATATTTCTTTAACAATGAACAGATGTTGAGCAACTGGAATAGTATTTAACCTTCATTTATTTCCTCTGGTGCAGTGGAAACTACAACTAAGATCTACCAACTCACAAAACCAGGTTACCCTGTCTCACAGTGGTCACGGGCAGCTATCTTTTTATTTTTTTTAAACCACCAAAGTGTAGACTGGTCTCCAAACTTTTTACACCCAAGATGGCTTTTTAAGCCAAGATCTACCCCATCCTTTCCTGGAGACTCTGCCCCACCATTCCCCTTCTCTCCATCACTGCCTGTCCCCAGCCCTTACTCACGCTCACTGAGTTGAAACAGGAGGTGCGGGCTCTGGGGTGGGAATGAGGGATTCAGCAGCGGCTGAATCTGGACGCCAGTTCCGACTTACATACAGATTCAACTTAAGAACAAACCTACAGTTCCTATCTTGTACATAACCCGGGGACTGCCTGTACTTCCTTGATTCTGCAATTAACAAAAAGATGGTACATCTATTGTTGTCTGATGAGCTCATGAGAGTGCCTTCTTGAGTTCCAAACTGTATTACTGCAATTAACTGTAAATGGCAATGAGCCCACTGACCTAAAAGAAAAAACTATCTAGTCCAAAACTCAGTAGCCCATCTCCTGAGGAACACCAGCAGCACACAGTACATCTGCCCCTTTGCTTGTTTACACAACAGTGCAAAAACTGGGAAAACAACTGGGAAAAACGCAGAAAGAAGAGACAAAAATCATATTCCCCATAAGTACACTGAAAAAAGGCTTATTTTTTGCCAACAACTTCTAGGAAAAATAAGTACAAATACAGTCCACTTTTTGGATCTTGTCTTACATTAGACATCTTTGGCAAGCATATCAAGAGCAACATTAAAGCAACCAGTACCTATTAAAAATAAAACTATCTAGAAAGACTTCAGAATAAAAGAATACAATCACTATTTATTTTATTAGAAACTAGCAGGAGTTACCCAGAGTTACTCGGGAAAGTCGAGGAACAAAATTTAGAAAAACAGTACAGGCAGTCACCGGGTTACGTACAAGATAGGGACTATAGGTTTGTTCTTAAGTTGAATTTGTATGTAAGTCGGAACTGGCTCCAGATTCAGCCACTGCTGCTGAAACTGACCAGGGGCTGACTACAGGAAGCTGGAATCAGCCACTGATCAGTTTCAACAGTG